AACTCTGGCTTTAGAGAAGCTTAAAGATTAACTAACCTAATTCTGCCACTTTACAGAGAAGAAGCTAAGACTTGGAGAGCTAGCACCTGCCGGTTTCTTAGGTTGTCTAATGGCAGACCCAGGACTGGAACCCAAGGCCCCAACCTCTGGTTATACCTTATTTAAAAAATGTCTTTCTAAAATTGAACTCCTCCTTAGAAGAACAAGGCAGCATTTTATTTTACTTAAAGACCAAACACTGCCAGAATGAATGAGATTCATGTTGAGATCTACTCTATCATCTTTGTCCTCTAGGAATTTCCAACCTTAGGGATTAGGAGGAAAGAGGACCCTTTGTTACCTCTTATAGGGAATCCTAGAGGGGAAAATGCTGGCTGGGGCTTGATAGATTAGATCCCCTTTTAGTAGCATTATTTTTTTGCAGCCAAAGAAAACATCCGGGTGATGATAAACTGAACTTAATTTTATACAACTTATGTTTTCATGTTTCTTGTAAAAACATGTCAATAATGAAAAAAAAAAAAAAAAGAATTTCTTTTCAGCGGAGCCTAAATATAAATGTCTATGGGAGTGTGTGTTGATAGTTTGGGTAGGAAATAGACTTGTTTTTCCTTGGCCTCATAAAGTATTATGAGAGAAATGCTGGCTATCATTTCAAACCACTCTTTCTGTATTCACTCGTTAAAAACAGTTAATCCAGTGGCTGGGACCCAATTATGGGGCACCTTCAGTCTGTCTGCAAACCTGAGATGGCTCCGGGTGAAACGTGAATGGTGTGTGAGGTCAGAGAAGAGACGAAAGGGTTCTCCCTGCTTGGTCTTCTCCATTTCTTTCAGCTCTAAGTGCCAGACACAAAGTACTGTTTTTCTCCCCCATAAATCACATCACTTTTTCTTTTATTAGCAATGGCTATTTTAAAAAAATTGAGAGTGTTAGAAAAAGAGATTGGGTGCCCTAGCTGGTTTTGCTCAGTGGCTAGAGCATCGGCCTGAGGACCAAAGGGTCCTGGGTTCAATTCTAGTCAAGGGCACATACCTTGGTTGCAGGCTCCTCCCTTGCCCCAGCCCTGGTCAGGGCTAGTGCAGGAGGCAACCGACGATATGTTTCTATCACACTGATGTTTCTCTGCGTTTTTCCCTATCTCCTCCACTCTCCCTAAAAATCAATGGAAGCATATCCCTCTTGGGGATAATTTCCTGTTTCCTGCGGCAGCTCTCATGTGCCACGGGCGGCATCTGCCCTTGGATTGTTGGCTGTTTTCCATCAGTGATGGAGTGGGAATGACAAGGATGCGGATGCTTGTTCAATAGAAAGACGGTGTTTGGTTAATTAGTGCTGCCAGAACGGAAACTGTCTGCCTGCAAAGCAGTGCGTGTGGGGAGCGTCCCGGCAGTGCCTTGGTGGCCATCTGCGGAGACCCTGAGTGCAGCTCCTGCTGGGGAGGGAGATGGAACTAAATGACGTTTCAGTTTTTTCCTGACCCTCAGATTCTGCGAGTCTACCTTATTTGGGTTCTGAGATGATGAGTACAATTTATTTCTTGGAATTGGTTGTAAATCCGTGACTTACAAAGTTAGAAACCCAGAGCTACTCGGGTACCCTGAGCACTATGGGGTTGTGCCAGGAAAGCTTATGTTTGTGGGGTCAACATGCCTCCACATACATGAGACCTTCAAAGGATTGAGTGCATGTGTGCGAAGAAGGACTAGACACTGTTTTTCAGGCACACTGGTTTCATCTTTGAAGGATTAACTAAAAGCAGATGATAGGGAAAGAAAGAGCAAAAATAGAAAATGAAAGCTCAGTGCAGCCAGTTTTCTTTTGGTTGAATGTCTTTTGTTGAGCGGTCTTTGAAGGAGCTGGCTCAGAACCCAGGCCATCTACCCCGAGGCCAAAGTATTGTCTATTCCTTTAAAAAAAAAAAAAAAATATATATATATATATATATATATATATATATTTATTGATTTCAGAGAGGAGAAGAGAGGAAAGGAGGGAGGGAGGGAGGGAGGGAGGGAGGGAGGGAGGGAGAAAAACATCAATGATGAGAGAGCATAAGTGATCAGCTGCCTCCTGCATGCACACACTAGGAATCGAACCGGCAACCTGGGCATGTGCTCTGACCAGGAATCAAACCATGACCTCCTGGTTCATAGGTGGATGCTCAACCACTGAGCCACACCAGCTGGGCTCCATTCCTTTCTTATAAACTTCCTTCATGAGGCTGGATAAATAATTCTTATAACTTTTTCTAAAACTGGCAAAAATAAAATACAGTGAACCTTCAGCTATTTTACCCCACTAATTGTCTTCAGTGAGACATTTTACCTCATTTGGAAGAAAATTTTAAATGTATAGCATTAATGAGTTCATCTGTGAAGCTTGAATCGAAACGGCATGGGTTTCTTAAATATCTGAACCAAGTTTCTAAATTGTCCCGGAAGGAAGGTCCCGTGAGTGAGGGGCAGGCTGACGCTTGGTGCGGCGGTAGGACCCTGCTTGGTGTGCGGTGGTCAGAAGCTGGTGCTGCTTAACTGAGGCCCCCTGACGGTGTCCCGCTCTGGACTTAAAGTTGGGGTGGTGAGGAGAGGATGTCCCTTCTTTCCATTTCCCTCAAAGGGTATACGGAGCTAAGACAGGTCCCAGAGCAAGGAAGAAAGGATTCTGTGCTGGCAATAAGGCAGCTTCTTGAGGGATGAGCTGTTGGCAACCTTTGTGGGAGCAAAGAATGTGAGAGTTCACTCTGACCATATGAATGAAATTATATGAAGTATTTCAGGCATACAGAAATATATTAAATGTATTAAAAATAGTATTACAGCCGAAACTGGTTTGGCTAAGTGGAGAGAGCGTCGGTCTGCTGACTGAAAGGTCCCAGGTTTGATTCCAGTCAAGGGCATGTACCTTGGTTGCAGGCACATCCCCAATAGGGGGTGTGCAAGAGGCAACTCATTGATGATTCTCTCTCATCGATGTTTCTAACTTTCTATCCCTCTCTCTTCCTCTTTGTAAAAAGTCAATAAAATATATTTAAAAAAATAGTATTACAAAACTACACACTCATCACCCATCTTAATAAACCATTAACAACACATTTGAACACCCTCATATGCTTATCTTTGGTTTTCCCATCCCTCCTCACCCCTTTTCTCCCCTTTCCTTTTCAAGTTAACCACAATCCCAACTTTAACACCCTTCATTTTTCAGAGGAGGAAAATGAGGCCCAGAGAGGTTGGGATCTGGCCAATCTGAGACTAACGGGAACCACAAGATACTCCTGTTTCTCTCCATGGGGAGCAGCTCACTGTTAGTAAATTTATACTGCATCTGAGCCTTGTGTGTATAATCAGATATGTGGTATATAGAATGGCTCAGAGATGACTTTTTGGTCTCTACGATCTGTGTAGCTTTGGATAACAGGCAATGGAGAACAGAGGGGAAGGGATTTTAGCCAACACTCACTTGTGTAGAATCTGCGGGTGGTACAAGAAGATGTAAGCAGATGCCTTATATCTGTTTGGGGACGGTCTGATGGACAGACTGTTTAGAATCAGATGGCAGTGGCTGTCCCCGTGGTGGCTCTGAGCTGTAGAGTAAGACAGCAGCACAGTCAGCCCCTTTCAGAACCCTCCTTTCCTGCCCATGCAGACAGTACATGTCTCCGCTAAACCTTCAGAACAACTCTCCTGCTGAAATGAAAAATACCACCTTAAAATATTTCCCCCCCAAATATCAGGATATTTAAGAAGCTTCCTGGGAGAAAGTTAGTGTGATTAAGATACATTTTCTGGCCGTAGCCAGTTTGGCTCAGTGGATAGAGCGTCGGCTTGAGGACTGAACAGTTCCAGGTTCTATTCCTGTCAACAGCATGTACCTTGGTTGCAGGCCGGCCCAGGTTGGGGGCATGTAGGAAGCAACCAATCAATGTGTCTTTCTCTCCCTTCCACTCTCTCTAAAAATCAATGGAAAAAATATCCTCAGTTGAGGATTAAAAAAAAAAAAGATACATTTTTCTGGTGAATAAAAACCTTAAGATTGAATAAATAATATAATTAAAATTTTGGAGCAATTAAATTTTGATAAAATTAAGAAAGCAAATAAGATTATCTCCTTCCTGCTAATAGAATGGCATATAATTTTGAAATTCTGGAGAAAGCACAGCTGTTTTTCTCATTTTTATTTATAGATTTTTAACATTCTGGGCTTTTACACTGTCACTTAAAAAAACACACATCGAAATCAGCAATTTTCACCTAGACTTTATTCACAGATATTTGAAAAGGTGTGTTTGGAGAAAGCATGCAGCCCAGGCATCATATGATTGTCCACTTATTTTTATTCAGGCTTGCGTAATGTCTATAAAAATCATCAAACAGCTTTGAAAAAGCAAGTACGAGTACTACATATGAAAAACATCAATGGGTTCTTTATTAAAGAAGTAAGGGAGCTGCCCTGGTTGAGTAGCTCAATTGGTTGGAGGATTGTCCTGTGCACTGAAAAGTTGCAGGTTCGATTCCCTACAGGGCACATACCTAGGGTGTAGATTCAATCCCTGGTCGGGGTGTATATGAGAGGCAACTGATCCTCTCTCTCTTCTCCCCCCCTTCCTCCTGCCCTGTCTCCCTTCCCTTCTCTCCCCACCCCCTTTCCTCTCTCTCTAAAACCATAAACATATCTTCAAGTGAGGATAAAAAGGTAAGGGAGCTGTGGCTTTCTGAATTCACACACCCCTGAACCGAGCAGAAGGAACGGACTCCCCCAGGGGCTCACCCTTGCTCACCAGTTGGAATGCCTGGTTGTAGTCATGTTGGTTTGAAAACTCACCGTGTGTTTAGCAGCGTTCTTTTGTCTTTCTCTAAAGCGGACATTGGAGGAGGACCTTTCCACTCTGTTTCAGAAGCAGTTTTTTACCTTTTCACACTCAAATCATGTCTTTCCAGGCTGATAGAGTTACTTAAGGGCTCCATTTCAGGTGTGGCATTTTTGCTTCTGGTTTTCAGACAGTTTACTCCATGGCGCCATTCCCTTTCCCACAACTGGCAGAGCTGAGGGAAAAGTACACCTACAACATCACACCGTTCCCAGCTGCAGTGAAACCCACCTCCGTGTCTGGGTAAGGCCTCTTTTCCCCTACTTTAACTTGTTATTGTAACTTAATAGTTGGTAAGCCCTAGAAATATATTCAAAGTAGTTTGGTTCTTAAAATCTGGATTTTTTTTTTAAGGTTTTGATTTAAATTCAAGAGAGTGATTTTTAAAACCATACTTTCCAAGGAAGACTAAGAATATAAACTGAAGGGACCTGCAGCAACCCTACAACTTATGTAAAAATATAAAATACTAAAAAACTCCATAATTAAAATAGTGTAGAACTGATGCATGAAAAGACAGATGAGCTTATTTAAAATTCTGTAAAGACTAGACATTGACAAGTACACAGGAATAAGCATATGAAAACTTGGCATATCAAACAGTAGTGAAAAAGGTATTACTTAGTAAATGGTACTGGGCCAATGAGACCTACTCTGGAAGGAAATAAAGTTAGAGTTTTCCTTCACATCAGACAGTAGGATACATTTCATATAGATGAGAGAATTAAACGGGGGGAAATGAAGTAATAACATTAGCAGAAGAAAATGTGGAGAAATGTCTCTAGGTCCTTGGAATTGAGAAGGCCTTAATAATCAAAATAAAAAAATAAAAAGCAATAAGGGAAAAAAAACACTTAAGTATTTAAAAATAATGTTCTGTATGACTAAAACCAAAACAGAACAAAATAGAATCCCCATAAGCAGTCACAAAAATATTCATGGAAAAATATTTGTAATTGATCTCTCTCATAAAGTTCCTAGAAATTAATACAGAATGACCATCCAACTGAAAAACGATGGGAAGATGGGACTATGTAGTTTACATAAAAGGCAGCATCAAGAGAAATGTAGCATATAACTAGATTGAGAGTATGTTAACTTTGCCTATCAGATTTACAAGAATTCAAAAGGTTGATGTGCACGCTTGATAAGGCCGGGGGACACAGGCACACTGCAGGTGAGAGGTTGCTTACTACAGGATTCGTGGCAGGCAGTTTGGCAGTATTGTCCAAAATTCGTAATGGATTTTGACCCAGAAATTCTACCTCAACGAATTATCACAAAATATATTTCTACACATGCAAAACACAGGATGTATAAGGTTACTTACTGCAGCATTGTTCATAATGGCATAATATTGAAACCCAAACGTGCACTGCATGCATACAATACAGTGCAGCTGTAAAAAACAATGAGGAAGCTCTTTGTATGAATATGGAGAGGTTTCTTCAGTGAATAAAAGCAAGGTGCAGAAAAGTGTATATAGTATGCTAATATTTATATAAAAAAGAGGAGAAAAATAAGACTATCCTATATAATAAAAGCCCAGCAACTGAAACAGTGGAATGACCAGAGATCAGAAGGACCACGGCCTCTCACCCCAGTTGGCCCCACCCCCTAGGGAGCAGTTAGGAGCCATGAGACAGGCAAGCAGGCAGAGGCAGTTAGGGGTGATAAGATAGGCAGGCAAGTGGTTAAGGGCAATCAGGCAGGCAAATGAGCAGATAGGGGTTATCAGACAGGCAGGCCAGCAGTTAGAAGCCAGTGGTCCCGGATTGCAAGAGGAATGTCTGATTGCCGGTTTAGGCCCAATCCTGCAGGAATCCCTGCAGCTGGTGCCTAAACCGGCAGTCAGACATATCCCAAAAGATCCCGGATTGCAAGAGGGTGCAGACCAGGCAAGCCCCACCCCCACCTCTGTGCATAAACTTCGTGCACCAGTTCTCTAGTATAGTCATATCTGCTTATCCATGCATAAAGAAACTAAAGACTAAATAAGAAGTTAGTCCTGCATCACCTGTAGGGATTAGGTAGAACAGCTGGGCAGAAATTGGATAGGGATAAGAGACTTATATATTATATTCCATCATTTTTCAGTTGGGTGATCATTCTGTATTAATTTCTAGGAACTTTTTGAGAGAGATCAATTACAAATATTTTTCCATGAATATTTTTGTGTCTGCTTATGGGGGTTCTATTTTGTTCTGTTTTGGTTTGAGTCATACATATGATATATATATATATATGTATGTATATATATATGTATGTATGTATGTATGTATGTATGTATATATGTCATTTAAATCATGTGACTGTGTTACTTATATTTTTTAAAAAATGCCAGTATTTTCTTTGGATATTTTTTTTCCTGTTATGTTTTCTAAGACGACATGGTAGGATCAGAGACAGTGATGAAGAGAATGACCCAGATGATGAAGATACTATTGCTAATGCTGTGGGGTGTCTTGGACCTTTCAGTGGGCTCCTGGCACCTGAACTGCAGAAGTACCAAAAACAAATTAAAGGTAAAAAAGGTGGCTCTCTATTTAGATTATCACAATGTGTTAGTTCACTATTACTGTATCCTATAACTGCCTATTTATTTCTTGAACTGGTTACCCCTATTGAAGGTCTTTGTTAAAGCTGTTGTGGCTCAGTGGTTGACCTCATATGAACCAGGAGGTCAAGGTTCAATTCCCGGTCAGGGCATATACTCAGTTTTGTTGGTTTGATCCCCAATGTGGGGCATGGAGGAAGCAGCCTATCAATGCTCTCTCTCTCCCTCCCTGAAGGGACCTTCCTGGGGGGGGGAAAAAAAAAAAAAAAAAAAAAAAATATATATATATATATATATATATATATATATATATATATATGTATCTTCTGTGTTCTTTTCTCATTTATTAGGATTTCTCTGTATCATGGGTTGCATGCATAATATATATATTTTTTTTCTTTTTTTTATGATTTTTGCCCTGTACTTGTCTGATTCAGTTCCTTAGCATAGAGCCTGGGATGTAATAGTTGCTTGCTACCTTGTGTTTGAGTTTAAATTGAATTCTTTCTAGACTGGCTCCTCTTCCATAGGGAAGTACCCTCTGAATCTAAAACATTATGGTGGCCTCTCCTTCAATTTGAGAGATAAGAAACTTATCTCACAAGGCGTTCTTCTGAGTTCCTCCACTTAGCCCATGGTTTCTAGTTTCAGAGAGATAATCTCTGCCTACGAGTTCTATTAATAGTTCATCTCTTTAGAACAAAACAGAATGAGTCCGCTCCCTCTTTGACTGGATGGCTCTTCGGTTTTTTGAGGACAACCATCACATCTCCAAAAGTTTTCTTCATGGCCCAGGGTCAGAATTTCTTTAAGCATTTCTCATAAGATATGATTTTCAGAACTTTTAATAGTATTTAAAAATTCACTGCTAAATGTCCCGCAGTGTGGCAGAGTCCCTTTTAAAATGCGGTGCTCTGAACAGAATGCCATCTATATATTTTTTTCTTGTGCAGGATAAGCTTCCTGTGGTCTAGACATTCTTGATAATGAACTCTTTTGAAGCAGTTCATGGTGCTCTCACTCGGTTCTTTCCCATTCTGAGTGGCAGCTCTTCCTTGAGGATATTCATTCTACATTTTCTAGACAAGATCGATGTCAGACACCCTTGCATTCTCTTTGTTATCTGCTAACTTTACCTTGAACCTTCTCAAAGTCATGTGACTATCTTCTCATTTTTGTTCTTCTTGCTTAGTTTTCTTCTTCATCTTTATCTTGTTTTTTTTTTTTTTTTTCATTTTCCTCCTCTTCCTCATCATCTCATCATTGCTGTCTTTTTCTTCTTCGTCTTTTTCCTAGTGCTAGTATGAGTATTTTCCCTAAGCCCTAGCTTGTTTTGAGTTTTGACCTGTTTCATGGTTTGGGTTCATACTTTATTGTGTGTAATGTCTTTGGTATGCATTTTCCTCTCACCCTTTTAAAAGGCTTTTAAAACTGTGAACCTAACAAGAGCCCCATTGATTTCGTAATGCCTTCCACCCTCCCTCTTGTTGCCTGGATTTCAGCTTTTGGTTTCTAGCTACGGGATCAATGTGAAACTTAATTCTAACATTTTTGAATCTGCATTTCTGAAGACTGGCTCTGTGCCCCCCCACCCTCTTCCCACCTCCCCCCTTGCCCCGCCCCGTTTTTCTTTCTGTGCAGGTCTGTGCCCAGGATGACCTGATCATGGTCTCCTCTTTTATCATTCCTCTGTTTGTTGGTTTTACTTAAATTCAGATGCACAGATCCCCTTTTAATTTCCTTTTCCTCGAATATGTGTCTCAGGGAAAAAAGGAAGTAAGTTTGCCAGATGTTTAGCACTCTAACACTTTCAGTGGCTGTTAGGATAGTCAGGATCCCTACTGAGGGTTCTCTTTCAGCTGGTCCCCTGGCCAGCTTTGCATATTGTGCTGAGGAACCTGGGTCTGCCCCCCTCGGCTGTGCAGTCTAGAAGCGTGTTTTTGCACAGTGCTTGTTTCTCTCTCTTGATGTAATCTCCGTTTTATTTAAGGAACAACCCTGCTGGGTGTAGGTGTCCTGGGAGCAGAAACCACATCGGACATAACACACATAAGTGTATGGTCAGGAAATGGTTGTTAAACAAATAAAAACATGCATTAGTAGGGATAGAGTGATTCAAAGTCTTGATCATTTCATAGAATGTATTTTTAACTTAAAAACTTACTTTAAAAAAATCCTTACCCATAGATATGTTTTATTGATTTTAGAGAGAGGGGAAAAGGGAGAGAGAGAAACATTGATGTGAGAGAGAAGCATCAGTTAGTGGCCTCTCACAAGTGCCTTAAACAGGGATCAAACCCATAGTCTGGGTATGTGTCCTGATTAGGAGTCGAACCCCCAACCTTTCAGTGAATGGGATGATGCACCAACCAACTGAGCCGTACCAGCCAGGGCTAAAATCTCACCTTTAATGGCTGATTAAACACTGCAAACTACCGATCCCTTATAAATCCTCACTCATTTATGTGGACATCTGTACAATGACTTGACATCTGGAATTACATTTTTCTAAGGGCATTTTCGAAAATAACAGTGACTTTTATCTGGAAAAAATTGATCTTATGTCTGTATAATAAACAAAGTGGTAATAACATAAAACTATGAACCCAGACAGCTCATTTCAGACCCACAATTAAGCTAAGAAGAAAATGCAGAAGTCTTTTCAGGACTGATTCAAAAACAAGCACTAGACAAATCCTAGTGTACATTTTTTAAATTAATATATTTTATTGCTTTTTTTTTACAGAGAGGAAGAGAGAGGGATAGAGAGTTAGAAACACTGATGAGAAAGAATCATCTATTAGCTGCCTCTTGTACACCCCCTACTGGGAATGTGCCCGCAACCAAGGTCCACCGGAATCGAACCTGGGACCTTTCAGTCCGCAGGCTGACGCTCTATCCACTGAGCCAAACTGGTTTACGCATGTACATTTTTGTGTGTGTGTGTGGTTTAGAATTTTCTGGAGGTTGTGATACCACTCTGGTTACAGTGGAATCAATTGCCCTTTTGTCCCTTTCTCCTCCACTGTCACCTCTCCTTGTCTCTGCTACTGCGAGTACAGCACCCCACGAAGAGCAGAGTCTGAGGTCTAACAACATTGCGGAGCTGAGTCCGGGAGCCATCAATTCCTGCCGCAGTGAGTACCACGCCGCTTTCAACAGCATGATGTTGGAGCGCATGACCACGGACATCAACGCGCTGAAGCGACAGTATTCTCGGATTAAAAGGAAGCAGCAGCAGCAGGTTCATCAGGTGTATATCAGAGCAGGTAATGGGCTTCTTCGAATCAACTTCAACTCTGTGCCAGCCTGGTAAGGAAGAGCACGTCCTGCTTTGGTCTCACGGCAGCTGCTCACTGCAGCTCAGCATCCAGAAACTCAGCTGGCATGGGTGATGGCACATTTAGCATCTCATTTTTAAAATTTTATTTTATCAGGCTCTATAGAAGACAAGGACCGGGAAGCTGATGGTATTGAACACATCTTCATTCTGTGTGCTTCTGGAGAGGGGTTTACAAATGATCACAGTGTTGCAAAGCCAAGCAATCCTTGGACTTGAGACATTTTGGAGGTGTTGCCTCTCAAATTCCAGGCATTGAGAAATAGAACTTTGCGATCTGTACATGACTAAACCGAGCTACCGATTGGTCATTTAAAAGGTTATAATAAAGGGTCATGTAATCTGAGAAAAAGGGAAAGGCTGCCCCCACGCCTTGCCCGTGGTGACTGTGTCCTGACTCTGCTAAGAACACAGGGGTAATGCAGTTGGAAATGCTCTTTTCCTAGGATTGTCAGGCTTCTTTTCTTTTTAATTCCCCAAATCCCAGGGAGCAATAATCTGCTTTGTTGTTTAATATACGCTGATTTTGGAATTGGTTTGTCTTGTTCTCGGTGAAATTTGAATGAAAATGATTCCTGTCCAGAATATACCAATGTATAAATTTGACATGTTTTTAAGAGGCTTGGGAGCATGTGACTGATCTTGCCCCAAAACCGAATTTACCTCCTTCTCAGGAAGGGTAGGCTGTGCGGCATTCAGCATGGCCAGACAAAGAGAATACAGCTGGGGCTAGGTGGATCTCTGACACAGACCCAACCTGAAAATGGAAGCTTTATTTTATAGTCAGAGCACACAAAGCAAAAAAAAGGGAAGTGGTCAACATGTTTAAAATGTTCTTGTGGGTTTGACTTGTTTTGGCAGCACTTGCTGCACCGCCCACAGCCCATTAACTACCTAGGAAGGAGCAAGGGAGGACTCTAAGGTCAGACTTAATTGTGCCAGGAGGGCTCTGCCCTCCAAGCTGGGGCTTGTTGGTGGCCCTGCCACAGGTCAGTCTGAGGCTTGACCCTATAGCCGCTTCCTACAGTAGGTGACTACCTAAAGATTTGTACTTTATCCTGAATCACACATTAATCACAGAAGAAACGAGCAACTGCAGCTCTGCAGTTTTCAAAGCATTGGTACATACACATCCTCATGTTGTCCTTGAGGGGAGTCTATGAGGAAGGCAAGAACAGGTATTCTCATATCCGTTTAGAAGATGAGGAAGTGGTGACTCATGAGGACTTCGCAGTCGTCAGAGATGATATAGTGAGAGTGAGTGGTCCAGACAGGGCTGGGATCCATTTGTTCTAATTCTTTGTACAGTCCTTTTTCAACCGTACTGTGTGAATCGTCGGGTGATTCTGTGCTGACTCAGCCCAGCGCCTCGTTCTCTAGTCAGGGGTCAGCAGATTATGGTCTGCAGGCCAAACCCTGCTTGTTGCCTGTTTGTGTAAATAAAGTTTTCCTGGAATACAGGCATGTCCATTGTTTACACACTGTCTGTGACTGACTTTACACTACCATGACTAAAATATTTGTAATCTGGCCCTGCACAGTAAAAGTTTGCCAACCCTTACTCTGGATCATGGTTTATTTGGCTTATTTTAGGGAGAGATTGTTCTAGGGCAGTGGTCGGCAAACTTATTAGTCAACAGAGCCAAATATCAACAGTACAATGATTGAAATTTCTTTTGAGAGCCGAAAACCTTCTGCGCATGAGCCACGAAGTTTCAACTGCATGTATGTGCGTGCCGCAAGTGGTATTTTGTGGAAGAGTCATACTAGAGGGGCCAAAGAGCCGCATGTGGCTTGCAAGCCACAGTTTGCTGACCACTGTTCTAAAACATTGCTCCTCAAACTCTCCTGTGCATAGGGTCCAGCTGGGAATCTGTTAAAAGGAAGGTTTGGGTGGGGCTCAGGTTATGCATTTTCAACAAGCTGTGGGTGCCAGTGCTGCCTGGTGGGGCTCACACGTGGAGTGGAAGGTTTTAGAGGAGGTGGTGTAGGACAGGATTAGAAGCTCCGGTGTAGACTGACCTTGAGCTAGAAGCCAAAGACCATAGTTTTTGAGACTTAAAGGAAGGAGGGAAGGAAGCTGGTTGGGGTACCAGCCTCCTAGGTTACAGAGGGCAAGAAGTTGAGGTATTTCAGACTTGATAGCTTGTTTTTATGGAGAAATTGGGGGAAAGTAGTTTTCCTCTCACCCTGCTCCTCTCCCACATTAGTCATACGCAGTGTGTTCTTTGCCTGCCAGAAGTCAACTGATAACCCATGTTGGACTTACTATGTTTTAAGAAATCTTCAACGTTTTCTGGATAGAAGACCTCTTGCGTCTCAGAGACAAAAGCTCCCCTCACCCCCAAATCATTAGGCCTCTACCTAGTCACGAGGGGTCAGTCTCTGTTCCTTTCTATGACCTCGGCCCCTTCTCTCCTCCTCTTTAGAGAGGAGGGAACAGCGCCCCGGTTGGAATTCAGTTTCTGCGTCTGCAGTCACATGCTCCCAGCGCCTGGGAACCAAACCGCGTGGGCAGGGCTGGGGACAGGCTGGGACCTGGTGACTTGAGGGCACGTCTCTCACCCGCTTCCTTCCAATGTTTCTTTCAGACAAAGGGCCGGTGACCAGCCTTCTCCCGTCTCAGGTGAACAACTCCCCAGTGATCAATCACCTCCTTTTGGGAAAGAAGATGAAAATGTCCAATCGAGCCGCCAGGAACGCCGTCATCCACATGCCCGGCCACGCGGGGGGCAAAGCATCCCCGGGGCCCTGCGAAGACCTCCGGACCAAGCTCAACTCCCCGTGGCGAACGCACATCCGAGTCCACAAGAAGGCCCTGCCGAGGGCCCGGGGCCAGCCGGGCTGCGGGGACACCGTGGGGCTGATCGAGGAGCCCAGCGAGGGCCGCCCGGGGGCCGCCGCCTCGGAGCCCAGCGCGTCCCCTGCGGGCGAAGGCGCAGGCGGCGGCGCGGAGGGCAGCGCCGGGCGCACCATCGAGGGCCGGTCCCCGGAGCCCGCCTTCGGGGAGGCCGACGTGTCGGAGGTGCAGGTGAAGTTGGAAGCCTTGGAACTGAGCCAGAGGGAAGCCGCTGCCCACGCGGAGCCCACGCGGCACCCGCCCTGCCAGCGGCGCCTCCCGGAGCTGCCCGAGGCGCCCGGGGAGGACAGGGCCGCTGGCAAACCCCCCCACGGCGGCCGCCCCAAAACCCCCATCTTCAGCCCCTTCCCCAGCGTCAAGCCGCTGCGCAAGTCTGCGGCCGCCAGGAACCTGGGGCTGTACGGCCCCACGGAGCGGACCCCGGCTGTGCGCTTCCCGCACCTGAGCCACAGCCTCAGCACCGCCGCCGGGGGAGGCGGCACCAAGAAGCGGTGACTCCCCAAAACCCCGCGCTGAGGCCCCCCTTTTCATCCCTTTTCATGGCGGAGCAGGGGTTCCCCCTCAATGGCGCCGGAAGAACAGCAACTGCCCGGTGAAAACAGACAGATGGGCTCGGAGATGGAATGGGAAGATTCACTATGGGAGCGAGGTGAGGGGTGTCTGTCCATCCACTGATGACCGGTACATGGATTCTTGGTGGCGAAATAAATAACGGTGGTTTTAAAATGCGAAGTCTTCCCACTTTTTGTCAGCTGTTTCGAAAAGACTGTGTACCTAGACTTGTTAGTCCCTCTTCTTCCTGTCCAGGGGCCTTCAGGGTCCTTTGGGTGTTAATACGCACGCATGCACCACTAGCTTGCTAGAACAGAAACTGTAAAGAGAAAGTAAGTTTCTTTTTTAAAAATATATTTTATTGATTTTTTACAGAGAGGAAGGGAGAGGGGTAGAGAGTTAGAAGTATCAATCAGCTGCCTCCTGCACACACCTACTGGGGATGTGCCTGGAACCAAGCTGCCAAGCCGAGGCTCTGTCCACTGAGCCAAACCAGTTTCAGCAGAAAGTAAGTTTCTTGGTAGCAAAAAACTTCCTGATTTCCCTCTTCGTGCCCTATGGGGGGATGGCATGTTTGTATGTGCGAGTTTTCCTTCAGTAGTTGCTTTCAGCCAGCCTCAGGATGTTTTTGATTCTTATGCTAAAGAGTAGGAGAAAACTCCAGATAGCCTTTCCCTCCCTTTCTACCAGTATCTCTAGTTGCAAAATGAAGGAAACTTTCATCTGTTGAAACTTAGGTTGATTGCTAACTTGAAGATCTTAATGCAGAGAACACAGATGGGGTAGGCACTCGACCACTGCGCACAACAGCTTGCTAAGTCCCCTAAGCTTTCCCCAAGGCCCATTTTCTACTCTTAAGGAGCGTGGTGGGGTGACATGATGGGCTGTATGGGCAGCTTGTCCCGCGTCCTCCGCTGTACAGCTCACTCCCCTGCCAGCTCTCGTGGCAGATGCAGAGGCTGTTCCTTGAATTTTGCGCTGTTACTTGAATTTTGTGCTGCTTTTGACTGGAATGCTTGGAATACTTTGTTCCTTGAACACTACCTTTCTCTGGAGAAGGGCCAGTGTTTTCCAGCTCTCTCTCACCCACTCCTCCCTGGTCCCAGCAGGTCAGAGAGGGACCTGCTGTTGCCACTATGCAATGGGAACTCAGCCACCGAGCGGTGAAGTAGCCCCTCAGATACGCCAGGTAAATACTGCCCCTCAGATACGCCAGGTAAATACTGCCCCTCTTCAGGGTGACATGGCCACGGTTCCTCCAGTGCAGCAGCCGGGTTTCATGCTCTTTCCATGCAGATGCACTGGCCACAAAGGTTCTACACACCACCACTGGGAAGCCATACACTGCACGCCCTCCTGACTCCAAGGGCCCTCCTCCAGGCAGGGACAGCCCTGCGGAGGTTTTACTAAACCAGCTCGACCCTTTTGACCTGAACGGTTAGTTCATTTTAAAACATGCCACGTGCAGCTCTCATTTGGCTAAACCAAAGGCTCACTCCTCAGTCCCCTTCTCCCAGCATCAGGAGAACAGATTCAGCATCTTTCCTTGTCTTGGAAGACCTTGGCCGTGCTGGCAGGCATAGTGCTGAGGCAGCCACTCTTATCTGAGCTAGTTGGGTCGCTAATTCTGAAACCAAAGCTGTAGTTTTAGACAAGGCTTTTCCTAGGAGAGGTACATGGTTTTTGAGGTTGTTTTTTAATTTAAATTCTGCCAGTTTATTCAGTTTCATTACCACACACACATACACACACACACACACAGGGGGAGAGAGAGAGAGAGAGAGAGAGAGAGAGAGAGAGAGAGAGAGAGAGAGAGAGAGAGAGAGAGAGAGAATGAATTATAATACAACTTTCAGAATAAAAGCAAAATTCCTGTTTTCACAAGTGTATATGTTGAACCCTAGGCCCAATTTCACAGATGCTAAGTCAAATTAACTAGTTGAACAGTGTATTGATGTTTAAATTTTTCAAAGATTTGTATAAATTCTATATGTTAAGTCCTTTTATAGAAGTCTTTTTTTCTTCTTCTTTTTTTTAAAATCAATCTTTATTGTTCATATTATTACAAAGGTTCCTCATTTCTTCCCCCCTCCACCAGGTTCCCACCCCACCCTCCGCCCTCTCCCCATCCCCCATTGTCCTCATCCATAGGTGCACAGTTTATGTTCAGTCTCTTCCTCCCTCCCTTTCCCCGATAGTAAATCCCTTTTCAGATAGTAAATCAGTTACTTAGCATTTTCTCATATCAATAGTAGAGAGGTACATGTTTTTATAATAAAATAGGAAATGTGGTAGTGTGGGCTTTTTTGAACAGGAAACACAAGAATGACATATATAGGGAGAAAAAGCCACTTTATCCCTTTTCCGGTATTTTGACCCTCCGATGAATGGAAGATGGAAAACATGACTGATAAGATACTGCAGTTTTGCTTGAAATCTGTGCCGCCTGAAGTTAGCAGGTAGCTTCTTAAAAAGCCGCCAAGCCTACAGCCTGTGTCTTGGGGCCGGGGGGGGGGGGGGGGGGGGGGGGAGAGGAGGGGTGTGTGAGGCGGGGAGGTGGAGAGTTAGGCTGACTTTGCAACCCACCCGGAAATGGAGACCCACTGCATTTCCCAAAGTGAAGCAAATGACATGATTTCCTTCCACCTGTTCAACTGTACAGAAAAGAATGATTCCACCTCAGATTCTTCCCTCCTCTCCCCCCACCCCCCTGCCCCCAATGAGTCAGAGCTGCCTTGTTCCCCTTGAGGGATGTCTGACAGCACAGAATTGTTCTTTCCTCTGTCAGTCAGCTCCCAGCAACCTGCGGTGGGGGCCCAGGAAGGCAGTGGTGGTGTGGAGGCCCCTGGCTGCGGCCCAGTTCTCTGTTCCCAGCACATGCCCGTTGCCCAGGGCTGGTCTAAGAAAGGGATGGATGAGAGAGCACATTGTGTGGGATGAGCATTTGTTGGATGAATGAATAACTGAAAGCATAATAGTCTTTTGAAGAAAAAAAAAAAATGACCTTGTCAGGATGTAAAAATCTAACAGATTTCCTGTGGAAGTATTCTCTGTTCCGATACTGTGCATGCACTGTACCATATACTCACTTTCCGTTATGAATTGGTGAGCTTCTAAGCCTTCCTACTTTGGAATATAAAGAATCTGCAGTAGCCTCGACCACACAGCATGGACAAAGACCTCTATGGACTCGTTCTCGTATTGGACACCCATGCAAGCCCAAAAGCACTTGCCGGGCAGTGCTCCTTCATCCTCAGAGATGCCTGCACCTGCCGGCACAGGCACAAGCTCCTCCTGGCCCTCCACACCTGTCCTCCCAGACCACCCACACAAACCTAGTTCGTAATGTTGACCTATGGGTGGTCACTGATTGGGATATTCTATTCCATTTTTGTCTCTCTCGCTGTTCTAAAGACTGTCGATTACAAAGATATGTGCATAAAGACGTTCATTGTTGTAGCTGGGGTGCTGTTTTCTGTCTGCGAGTGCACAGAACCCTGCTGTGAGGCCCCCCACGTTGGTCACGTGAACCAGGGAAACACCCCAGTAAGCTCCACCCCACCCCCTACCCCCCAGTCTAATATGCGGGTTGCATGGTGGCCATGGCCTGCTGAGCCCCTGGCAGAATAGAGGGTTCCTCAATATGAGTAAGCAAAGAGATCACTGGAGAGTGTGTGTGCAGGTATAAGATTAACCTTTAGATTTTTCTTTGTTTTAAGAAAGTAGAACAATAAGAATGCAACTTAGCTTTCTGGTCTGTGGATTCTGGATGGATAGAAGAGCCGTGATGGAGCACACAGCAGCTGCCCTCAACCCCCACAGGAGGCAGCATTGTAAATACATATGCTTCCTAGTTAGAAAAGTGACACCCACTCTAAAAGAATTAGGGAAACAGCACAAGGAATCACCCATGTCCTAGTGTTGGTCTTTCTGATGTGTGTGTGTGTGTGTGTGTGTGTGTACACCAGTGTCTATTAAAGGTATGGTGAGCACACTAGTTTAGGTGGTCCTTCCAGGAATTGCTCTTGTGCAGCATCATTTTCAGTGACTAGTATTCCATCCTGTGTCCATGCCAGAATTCACAGAACCAGCCCCTGCTGTCACACAGGTTGTCTCTGATTGTGGAGAGCACTGGAGCATCCTAACGCTACATCCTCAGCTATTTTCTAGGGCATGCTCATAGACGTAGGATTGCAGTCAGAGAATGTGCATCTTTTTAAGACTTACATACACTGCCACATTGCTATCCTTAAAGGTGGGACTCAGGCGAGCAGTGAGCGAGCATGCCTGCTTCTCTTTGCCTCTGGGAGGGGAGCACGTTTCTTTTGTCCTAGGCCTGCACTGTTGATAAAAGCAGTGATACTAGGCATTCCTATCTCATTCCTGACTCTTAAAGGAACCATTCACTAAGATGTTTGCTGAGATTTCTGGTAGGTAACTTATCAGGTTAAAGAAATTATCTTTTTATTCTTTTCTCACTAAGATGTTTGTTTTTTATAAGTCAATAAGTTGGTTTCTTTAAACATTTTTTTTTTTAATTTTATTTTAGGGAGGAAGGGAGATGGGGAGAGAAATAGAATCATCAGTGATGAGAATCCTGATCGGCTGCCTCCTGCATGCCTCCCACTGGGGATTGAGCCTGCAACCTGGGCATGTGTCCCAACTGGAAATCAAACCTTGACTTCCTGGTTCAAATTGATGCTCAACCACTGAGCCACGCCTGCTTGGCTCGGCTTCCTTCCCGCCCCACGCACAAAGTGTGTACCACTGACATAGGGACTGAGAGGGAGTCACAGGGGCCGGGTAGAGAGCACAAAGCCCGAGTCAGGACCACTATGTGCCTCGGCTCCTCTCACAGGTCTTTGGGGGAAAGATATTCCAAGCGGAGGGAACAATCGGTACAGAGTTACTGAGACCCATCTGTATAGATAGAGACATCCGTA